ACCGGAGGAATTTTTCCAATTTGCTTTCAATTCAATGGTGTTCTTTAAATAGAATAACTTATGACGAAATTAACTTGAATGATTGAATTAATCCATAAAACAATTTCAGATTTCAGATGAACAATTACATTAAAAAAAAGCGATTTTGAGATATTTTGGGGATTTCAACTTTTTTTCTCAGAAAGTAGGTCACTTTCAGGGATTTGGCCGACAACTTTGGGATTCTGGATGAGCAAAATCGGACCACACTGAGAAAAAAAATTACTTTTGCCAAAGAATCATTTTCTTGGGAGAAGAATTTATTCTTTGCGGAGCGTATTTCTCCAGGCCAGTCATTATCAAGGAGTCCAAGTCCATCTCGAAATATTAAAATTATGTTCAATTATGGAATGATTACATTACATATGACCTTGAATGAACTCCATTGACAATTATTAGCCTTTAAAATTATTTCAAATTATTATACGTTAGAGAACCTCGAATTTGAAAAAATTGAAAAATAATGAAGCGTGTTCATTCAAGGTCATATGTAGCATAATCATCTCATTATTCAACATAATTGTAATAGAGAATAGAGAAATAAGCTCCTAAAAAAATAAATTCTTCTCCCAAGAAAATGATTCCTTGGCAAAATTAATTTTTTTTTCCCAGTGCACTTGTTTTGGAGATATTCAACTTTGTATGTGAAACTCTTTTGCCCAATATCTCAAAAACTATCGGTTCGATTTCAATTTTTTTTCAAAATGTGCACTTTTATGTGGAATTTTACGATAAATGAATCATTCCACCAGTCTAATCAGCATTTAAAAAATGTCAATATCACGTAGTTCTCGGCTTCTAGGGCGAGATGACCCCAATTTTGTAATACTGCACTATTAGTGGGCACGAACCACTTATTGTATAAAATCCAAAAAAAATTCATTTCATTTTCATAAAATATCGGAAAGCACAAAAATTTTTCTTAGAATGAATCAATTAAAAAACAAATCAATGATCGCTGGAAACAGAACTTCCGAATGGCCGTAGGTCTTTTACGCGATGACGTTTCCGAATCACGATATATCAAATACGAAAAAATGCCATCCACAAGATGCTCTTGAGAAGCGTACAGTCATACTTTCTCATTCAATCAAATTTCTCGGTATCTCATCGCATCCACTCAACTATTTTCCCCCTGGAGGAATTTTTCCATTTTTTCCAAATAGCTACAACGGTTGCCCACGATCGTAACCATCCCACCGTTGTGGACAACTCATAACATGTCAGGCTGCTTTCCAAGCGAAATCATAAAACTTTCGTCTGGGCCCTAAAAACCAGTAATGTCAGCTAACAGGCATGCTCGCCTGTAAAAAGATTATGACCTTACATAAGGCGGTATTGCTTGTCATTACACCTACGTGATAATGATTCATACGGCAAATTGGAGATACTACGACAAAAAATAAAAGAAGTACAAAAAATAGAGCAAAATATTGGAAATAAAGAAGGCTAAAAAACCAAGATAACCGAGAACGATAATTCAAAATACTCTAGAGCTACAATTTATCGTTGCTTTCATTTGCAAAAAATTGAGAAATACACCTTAAAAAAAACAGCTGAACCCAAACTAAACAGTTGTACGACAACAAATAAACAGCTCCGTAGAAATCGATGGAACAGAAAGTATTCTGTACAGGCCATTTCGTGAATGCCTCGTAAACTGGTGGTTGTAGAGGAAAATGTCAAGAGAACTTTGGCATAGCCAATGAAATTCTCTCCAAAAAATAATTCCACACTTCATTCTTGGAGCTATCAATCCAAAATACCCCTGCCTCTGTACTGCGAGGTGAGATAAAAAAAACAGGGAACTTTGTGATACTCCTGTGACATTTTCTCTCAAACCTCTCCCTTCCAGCCCTCCAGAACAAAAATAAATTTAAAAAACCGTCTAAACCCCTCCAGAAAATCGAATAATCCTTCAACCCGAACAAAAGCCACGACAAGTAGATCTCCAACTCTTAAAAGGAAAATTAAAACCCCGAGATAACCTACAGAGATATTCCGAATAATGACTACAGAATAGTAAACCACATTTATGAGAATCGAATGACTGAGACAAGGAAATACAACGAGGGTAAACCGTGGAACTTGTGACAGTTGGAAGGAGGAAATATGGATGAGAGAGGAGGAACGGTTGGGAGAAGTTAGCCCCGGCTGTTTGTCTGTCATGCACGAGGGGAGGGGGGTTATATCACCCAGGGGGAGGAGGCCGACAGGAACAAACCGGGACACACGAGTGATACTCACACGTTATATTAGGATTAACCTGAAGAGTTTAGTCGTTAGTTTCACCATCCACTGTGGATTTCCATTTCCCATAAAACCTCCACAAAATATTCTCGATGATGAAATTCAAGGAAAAGCACGATAGTTTCACTCAATTCATCATTTAATCATTAGTTTTAACATTTTATTACGAAGGAAACACACGCACTTAACTCAACACCGTCATGAGACCCGACGGACACAGAACTATGAAAAACCGAATTTTCAATGCCCATCGTTTCCTCCAACAATTCAGTTAAACCCTCAAGGTCATGATAAATAACAAATTATCATCATCAACTATTGAGTTTATGATGAAACTGTTAATTAATAGTTTCCTCTGTCTCCAAAATGTTCACCCTCTTCACTTTTCCCCAGCTTTTGCACCGCCGAAACTTCAATGACGGCGGGGCTCCAGATTAATATGGCCGTCCGTTGACACGAAGTTTCGTGGAGCACTGGCGAGAGGAGCCCTGAGGCATCACGAATTTCTTCATTCTCATAAAATCCCCCTGGCCCCACCCGACCGTGTAAACCGCACAGCGTGGAAAAACTATAAATTTACATTAACAATAAACAGAGCTGTAATAATCAGCCATTTTTCCCCACAAAATCCATCTCTCTCTCTCTCTCTCTCTCTCTCTCTCTCTCTCACTCACACACACACTTCACCCAATTCATGTATTTGCAGGTAGAATAATCACTCAACGAATCACCATCATCAATACCACAATAGAAAAACTTTTATTTTTTCATGGTAACTTCACTCACCTCGTCGCCGTGCTTTCCTTCACCCTCACGCGTAATATCACTCTCTTTTTTCCTCACTATTTATCTCTCTCTCTCTCCTCGTTTTTTTTCGTCTCAACAATCTCACTGAATTCAGCGAAAAAAAAGGGGGAAAAAGAAACAAAAAAAAATAAAATATTTCCACGGATTTTAGTTGATCACAGGGGCACAGTTATTGAGTTTACGATTATATTAATCACTGTTTATCATTATTTTTAGATGTTAGATTGTCTAACAATAATCACGCTGACACACTGGACGCGGTTATTTGGTGAACGACGTCAACATTACCACCGTACGCTCTCGTGGCGGCCATCTTTTCGGGGCCACACGAATGTAACGCCACACGAATCACTCGGGAAACATCGGCCTCCAAACAACTCTCTCGTCTTGTGTGACGTCGTATTCACTCTACTCCCCACTGTCACACTTATTTTTCTCGCTTCTGTTCTCTTCTTTCCTCAGCCGCCCTCTCTCGTTCCCTCTTCGTCGCCAGTGTGTTACGCCCGGGAGTTATTTTAATGTGTGCGAATATTCTCGTGACGAATATTCTTGGTTTACGGACGACGCGCACCAACACTGAGACGATGAAAACATCGGCGAGTTACGTGTCTCTACGCACATAAACAAACACATAGATGAAAGGATGAATAAATGTGTTAGTTTTTGGGGAGTAAGGAGTAGATTGTGTTTGTGGCGCTGGGTGTCAACGAAAACTTTCTTGATACGCCGGAAGTCAAATGACCTCGTGGCCAATGGCGAGGGACGGCATAGACATGGAGACGGGAAGTTGGCGAGTGTGATGGCGCCGACGCGGGTTCATTTAAATTCGGCTTCTGTAGAAATGTAGGAGAGCCCATTTTTTGACGTGGATACGTCTACGGTTTCAATAGCGGGGGGTGGGGTCATTTTGGGAAACAGTCCTTATGTGCAGTGCCATCTATCGGAATTCTAGAAAATTCTAGACATTTCGAGGTAATTTGAAAAGTTTCTTGAAATTTCGATAAAATTCAAGGTGTTTCTAGAAAATTCGAGAGAATGCAAGAAGTTTCTAGTAAATTTGAGAAAGAAGGAAGGACCATGGACGTATCCGCGCACAATCACAGCTGTATATATATGGAAGATACAACCGCCTGTCATTTTTAAGAATGTTGGGATTTTTTGGGGGGCAGTATGGCTGCAAAAAAGTCTCTTGATAAACCTACTGGGTTGTGGATGTTCATCCAAAATGGTAAGCACTCAAAATAATAGTTTTCGTCATTGGAGCGAAGAAAATTTTTCTGGCGAATATGGGGTTGAAGGATGAATCAACGGCGAGTTCTGCATCCATATGTGCTAAAATAGCATTTTCTGTACTGCTTCTCACGATTTCTCGTCTGGGAATTGGTATTACATACTTGCCAAACTTGAAAACTTGAAAATCACTACAGAAAAATATTGTTCCTGGGCTGTTGCGATGGGGTTTTTTTAATCGTGTGATTGGCCAGTCCTCGCCTACGGCTCGGAGGCCAGCGCCACACGAGTAAAAAACCCCATCGCAAAAGGCCGGAAAAATACTATTTCTGTACTGCTTCTCACGATTTCTTGTCTGGGAATTGGTATTACATACTTGCCAAACTTGAAAACTTGAAAATCACTACAGAAAAATATTGTTCCTGGGCTGTTGTGATGGGGTTTTTTTAATCGTGCGGTTGGCCAGTCCTCGCCGACGGCTCGGACGCCAGCGCGAGACTACCAACAAGAATTATTTGAGAACCTATTCGTTTTTCTCTCAGTGTATTATGCCGGATTTTATTGCATGGGTGAGAAAAAAGCAGCTGTTAAACTCACTATGTCCTGAGAAATTGAAAATATAAACTGCATAATCAACGCTAAATCCAAATGAAGAAACCTGAACAATTGTTGTCTACGCAGAAAATGTGAAAAATATATTTTTTCTCATACAGTTTTTCTCCAATCCCAAGACTTCAAACAGTTAACAATGCTCTGAAAAATATGTAAATTGTTCCACAAAGGTCTGTTTATAAACGTACATAAACTGTAATATGTAAAACTTTATCAAACACGTGTCCACACCCAAAAAAACACTTGATAAATGCAGTGGAATGTGGAATTACGAGCCAGCCGACAACCCCCTAATGCTTCACGATCTCCTGAACAGCAGCGATGATGTTCCTGGCACTGATTCCAAAGGCATCGAGAAGAACGTTAGGAGGACCAGATCTGGGGACCTTGGGGACTGCCAACTTCTTCAAGATGATGTTTCTCTCCATCGCAACAGCTGAGGCGACAGCCTCCCCCAGTCCTCCCTCGGGATAGTGATCCTCCACTGTGACAATTCTGCCACCTGTCTCCTTGGCGTTACTGATGACAGCAGCAGCATCCAGAGGTTTAACAGTGAATGGATCCAACACTCTGACGTTAACTCCAGCCTTCTCAAGCTCATCAGCAGCCTTCAAGGCTTCGTGGAGAGTGACTCCAGCTCCAATGAGCAAAACCTAAAAACAATAACAAAATAATGGATTCAACGTTGAAATTTAATTGCTCATCATCACACAATTCGTAATATTTCCTCACGTACATATTGTTAGTAATTGTTATTGTAACATTTTTGTCAAAATTTTTGAAAAAAAGCCTCTGTAGCTCAAAAATTGGAGGCCCTAGACTATTTTTGACATTTTAAGCGCCTGCGGGACAAACGAACAATGAACAGTAAACAATTTTTGTTGCACTAATTATTCGTTTTTCGACATATATGATCAATCGTGGTTTTTCCTGGTAAACTAATAATCAAATAAGGGATTTTGACCCTTGTAGCGTTCGGGTACCCTGCGACCCTGATGGCCCTTATAACCCTGAAGGTCCCAAGGGTCTGCAGGGGCACAAAGGTCCCCTTCGTTACCCCTTCTTGTAACATCAAATAGATTTATAATTAAATGGGTATATTCTATTATTATCTTCAATGCATATAAGAAATCTCACTCCAATAATAGCCCGCGAATTTTAAAACTCATAGGTTCCCTTTAAGGATGTTCGACACCCTTTTAGCCAAAATTGACGTTGTTTTCATTTTTCTGACAAATTATCGATGGGAGTGACGTGAAAAAATATAACGATTTTGTGGTTTGTCATTCTTTAATGGCTCACGAAGTTGCGTAGTGGTGCGATAATTTTCATGCGTTTTTTCTACAGTTTTGTGATTCTTTTTAAAAGTTTAGAGAAAACGCAGGAAAATGTTCGCACCACCTTAAAATTTCGTCAGTCATTAAATAATGACAAAACGCAAAAACGTTATATTTTTTCACGTCAATTCCATCATAAGTTTGCCAGAAAAATTAAAAAAACGTGAATTTTGGCAGAAAGGGTGTAGAACATCCTTAATCGTCTATCTGTTCGTCTGCTTACCCCACATTCATCTCAATCCTCACAAATGAAATAAAACGAACCTGATCCTTCTGGCTGGACTTGACAACCTTAGCCTTTCCGACAGCAAAAGGCTCTTCGTTCTTATACAAAATCGCAGTGTTAGGTCTTGAAGTTCTGATGAAGCAAATCCCCTTGGTGTTAGCAGCGATTTCCACAGCTCTCTCAGTGGACACAGCATCACTGGGATAGAAGACAGTAGACCCAGGTATAGTTCTGAACATGGCAATGTCCTCAAGCCCCATTTGAGAGGGGCCATCCTCTCCAATGGACACTCCACAGTGGGAGCCAACAAAGTTCACATTTGACTGAGAGATTGCACCCATTCGAATCTGATCGAAGGCCCTCGTGAAGAACGTGGCGAAAGCTGAGACGAAGGGGACTGTTCTGTCTCTGCAGGCAGCTCCCGTTGCCACCCCCACGAGGTTCTGTTCGGCTATGAAGCATTCGACGAAGCGAGCGGGGTCCACTGTCTTAATTTTGTCGGCGAAGGTTGAGTTCTTCGTGTCGCCGTCTAGGGCAATCACTCGAGGGTTGTTCTGTGCGATTTTTGCTAGGGCAGTTCCATAGGCTAGACGAGTTGCCACTTGATCCGTGGGTTTGTAGGCTGGTGGAGTCTGGAGCTTGATGTTGGTGATGTTGACGACTGGGGCGTCCTCGACGAGAGGCTTCTGGGGGTGGAGACCCAGGGGCCCGTGATTCTTGATGAGAGAGGTCAAGAATTTAATCGTATCATCAGCTTTGTCCCCTAGGGCCTTGCCATGCCAGTTTTCCAGGTCCTCGATGTTGGGGAAGTACTTTCCTTTGAAGGTCTTTGCGAGAATGGCAGTGGGGCGACCTTTGGTGGTCTGGGCCTCGTGGAAGGCTTTCACGAGCTCCTCGACGTCATGACCGTCAACCACCAGCGCGTTGAAGCCGAAGGACTCTAGGCGCTTACGGTAGACTTCGAGGTTGTGCTGGAGGGCTGTGGGCTCACTCTGGCCCAGACGATTGATGTCGAAGATTGCACAGAGGTTGTCGAGTTTGTAGTGCGAGGCGAAACTCAGGGCCTCCCAGATCGATCCTTCTGCGGATTCACCGTCACCAATCAGGCAGTAAACTCTGCAATACAAGCGGGTTTCAGGAGTTACAGTAAATTTGAGGATGAAGACAAAAAATCAGCTGTGAGGTGGTTTCTATGAGAAAGTGTTCGAAGATACTTGCTGGCAATTTCATCGGATTCGAAGACGCTCACAAAAGCTTCACATTTCATCTCAGAATAAATTTATTTATGAATGCATATCAGGTATTCCATGTCAAATGAGTCAACGGTTCACCCTCAGCCCCTTGGAAATTAATGTCGATTTTTTCTCCGATTGGAGCACTAGAAAAACTATCTCTCAATTTTTCTTAAATTTTTTTACCAGCCCGTTACGGAGAAATGATTTTTTTTTTTTCGTTTTTCAATAACTCCAGTTCTGTTCATCCGATTTTTATTTATGACACGTTATATTATAAGAGTTACGTTTTGATTGTAAGAGTTACTGGAAAAAAGACAAGAAAAATAAAAGATGACATAATTTTGAAAATTCAAGTTTTCATTTTTTTTTTGAATTTGGTATTATGTGCACCTAGGGATTGAAAAACAAAATCGCACAAAATCTTCTTATAGATGGTAGAAAATGGAGAATTTTGAGGCGTCTCAAATTAAAATTGGCTGAACAGAACCCGAGTTACTGAACAAAAAACCAAAAAACAAAGAAAAAATCATATCACCGAAATGGGTCGTCGAAAAAATCTGAAAAAAATTGAGACATCGTAGAAAAAATCGAGATCAATTTCCGAAAGGGTGAGGGTGGGCCTTTGACTCATTTGGCATAGAAAACCTCATATTCAACAGTTTTCATGATTGACGGGAACTATTTTAGTGCTTTGACAAATCATTGTGATTTGATCAACTATGAATAAAATTCATTTTAATTATGTGTATTTTCGTGATAATATTGCATGGATATATAGATCTTATTCATGAATCAATGGAGGAGAGAGGGACTTCTTTTGAATAATTTTTCGGAAAATCTAAGAACGAAAAAAAGTTGTATTCCATCAATTTTCTATATTATCGTTACCTGTAGCTGGCTCTATCAAAATTTTTGCCAACGTATGCCATTCCTGCAGCAACAGAGAGCCCCTGACCGAGGGATCCAGTGCCTACATCAATGAAGTTGAGCCTGGGTGTTGGATGTCCTTCCAAGTCGCTGTCGAATTTCCTGAGATTCTGGAGCTCAGCAACTGGCAGAAGTCCCGCCTCAGCCCATGCTTGAAAAATAACAACATCGGCACCATTTATATTGATATCTCCATGTCATTTTGAAGTGTCTAGAAGCCCTATCAATGAACGTATCCGCCAAAAATATCATAAGTAGTGAGATTTTAAATTTTTTATTCCGAAACTCCGGGCCGTGTACCGTGTATAAGGCGAATTTTCAGAAAAACATGGCACCTTTGAGCTCGAATATATAATTAAGAGTAACACTGAACATAAAAAATCTCACGGGACTTTTTCAAGTACACGATGTAGATCACTTTTGATTTTTTTCACATTTTTCCTAGATCTTTCACATTTATCATTATGTCGATTTATGCTGGTGCGGCGCGGCGCTTACGGCGCGACCAACGGAGTGTTAAGAATATTTAAGTATCTTTTACAGTTTGGTACAGCTCACACTGTAGATTCAACCATTGTCAATAATCAAATTTGTCAATTAAATTGCCCGAGAAAAAATTGAAAAATGAGGATTTTGAGCGAAAAACAGCAAAATGGAAATATCTCGGAAACTTTATATGAGCAGGTACGCATGTTTTGATTGATTGAGACAGAAAACATCGAGACGAATATTTTGAAACCAAAATTGAAATCGGTTGAGTAGTTTTTGGAATATTCAAGAAAACAGATTTAGATACAAATTTCAATATCTCCTAAACTAACCATCGGATCTAGCCCATTTTCAATATGAAACATTCTGGCGCTGGGTTTACATATTTTGACTGATTGAGATAGAAGGCATTGAAACGAATATTTTGAAAAAAAATTGGAATCGGTTGAGTAGTTTTTGAAATATTTACGAAAAACAATTTAGAAACAAATGGCGATTTCTCAAAAACGGCTGGATCGATCGGGCTGAAATTGAGCACAGAGTGAGTTCTCATCAATACCTATAATCTGACAAAATTTCAGATTTTTTGGAATCGTTTTAGTCCTTTAATTGTTCAATTTTCTAGAAGTTGACCACCAGGTAGATACCTGCACATACACAGAAGGTGGTCAAACTTCGTATTTTTACGTTTTAGACCATTCTACATCATTTCAAATTAGAGAATCTAAAAATAGAATGACTTCAATGTTTTCATTCGGAAGGAAAAAGAAGAATGCGATTACATTTTGGGCCACGATTACCTTTCAGACAGTAAAATTTTCCGAAATTGTCTGATTAATTTTTCCTTATATTTCTCCCCGTACGAACATATTCACAAAACAGTCCAGAGAGTTATGTCTCATCAACTCCATGTACCACGCAATTACAATTTCCATCAGTGAAAATTACCAGCATAAAGGATGGGGGCAGCATGACCCTTGCTGAGAATAAATCTATCGTTGTTGGCATCGCGTGGAGCTGAAACTTTATACCTCATCGCATTGAAGAAGAGGACAGACATGATGTCTGCCATCGAAGAGCATGATGTTGGATGCCTGTGAATTCAAAACAACAAAATCATTATCCCACATACCCAACTCCCCCTAATCTTGTATTTGATAACAGTGTTATGGGGATTGAATTCGAGTGAGCTAGGATTATTGATCGGCTCGAGGTTGAGAGAGGGAAACCGAAGCGATTGACCTTAGAAGGACAAGAATTATTGCCTAGCATAACTATCCTGATAAAATAACTTGACATATACTATTTTCATCGTAAATCACCTCCTCTTCTTATAAATTCCATTTTTTGCATTGAGGTATTAAAAAACATCTGATTCGTTATCAGATTGAAAACAATTTCGAGGTATTTATGAAAATGCAAAGAGAAGCAGAAACGTTGATAACACCCGCAATTGTATCGCCCGTCAATATCAAAAGGTCAGATGAAAGACTAGATTAATATGAATAAATTCAAGAGGAATAGATAATTATTAATTCAAATACCCCAAATGCCGATTTCGCGGATTGCGTGCTCTCAAATATCGGAAATATTTAAGAACACATCAGTTATTCGTTGAAAAAATTGAAAAGTTTTGAAAATCTTAGTTTTTAATTTGCTGATTTTCTAGAAAATTTAAATATGTATAATTTAATTAATTGTAACTATTATTTATGAATGAAATTCACCCGCTCTTCGAAGCTTCCGTAGCCTTTACGCTCAGAATCCTGAGGGTATTAGCCATGTCCTTGAGCTTCTGGATCTCCATATCGCGCACCATAGCTCAATATTACTTAAGATAATTATTGAAATGAAGGAGTTAGTGATTCAACGACTATATCCTACGAAGGCTCAATAAGCACTGACTGCCGCTTCAACAAATATCGAACGAATACCCTCGTGTCGGTCACTCGAGTGATGGAAAGTTGCCAAGACGCGCGAATTAAGTCCTGAATTTGAAATCTGCACTCGAGTAATTCCTTAGAATGCCAAAAATGAGTTTTCACTTGATAAATGAGAAAATTTGGTACTCTTCTGTTTTTGTCCTCTTGAGGTGGAGTTTCAGGTGTTGAATACAGCCCTGAGGTGTTACACAATACCTCCAGTTGTAATCTTACACTATCATGCAGACTAGACCCCTAATACTGGGGATTGACGTTACATTCGGAAAAAAATGAGAAATGTAGGGAATTGAGGATTCAAGAGATAGTAATTTAATTATCTCGATAACGAGGGGTTTGAGGAAAAAATTTAAGGATGCCTTTTTTTTCGGAAATTTTCTTCTCTACAAAAAAGTTCTTTCCGAATCTCCAACGTTTCCGAGATAAATTGGTAGAAAGCAAAATGCGAAATACTTTTTGTCATTTTTTTTTTTAAGAATGGAAAACCATTAAGGGGAGACTACTGTGAGTTTTTAAATTCGCTGGCTATTGGAATGCGATTTTTCATACAATAAAGATCGATTATATATATGTATCCAAAAATGAATAATTAGTGCAAAAAAATTAATTGTTTATCGATTGTTTGTCCCACAGAGGCTTAAAATGTTAAAAATAGGCCAGGACCTCTAATTTTTGAGCTACAGAGGTTTCTTTTTTTCAAAATGTTTGAAAAAATGTTTGAAAAAATGTGTACAATAACGATTGCGAATTAGTTTTTTAAAATTCAACTCCTACACAGCTAATTTCGTTATTTTTTTAATGAAAAATTGCACCATTCATGTAAAATGGCCCGAAAAATGTTCCTGAAAGAATCGAGAATGTATTTTAAATATTTTAAGAATAATTTTTCTGCCTATTTTATTAAATTAGCTGTGTAGGAGTCGAATTTCAAAAAACTAATTCGTAATTATTATCACACACATTTTTTCAAAAATTTTTGAAAAAAACACCTCTAAAATTTGAGGCCCTGGACTATTTTTAACATTTTAAGCGTCTGCAGGAAAACGAACAATAAACAATTTTTTTCACTAATTATTCGGTTTTACACATACCTAATTAATCTTCAATGTATGAGAAATCTCACTCCAATCGCCCGCGACTTTTAAAACTAATAGTAGTCTCCCCTTAATCCATTTTTCATTGTGTAATCTTCAATTGCAATTTTCTCATGATAATTCACCGGCTCTCATAAGATTGGATGCTCCGTCCCGTGAAATACCGTGAGGCATCGACTGATGCTAGGAGCCAATGGCAATTCTCCTACAATCGCTTGTACATTCACATATTTTATTTTTCATTTCCTCAACTCTAATGACGACCGCTTACGACGAAAAACAATTCCTGATATCAGAATGATTTTTCGGTATAATTTTTCATCACTTACATCATATGTTATGTCAGACATAATTTTTAGAAATGATATTGAATTGATTTTTCATGTTTCGAATCTGAAACTCTACATTCATTATTCCTCGGTGCATAAATCATGTACGGGCGTCATGCTGCCTTGAACCGAGTGTCGTCAAATGTACTCAACATAAATATGGGTCTATGTACACAACACAGACGAACCCTGTTCTCCAAGAATTGCCATCTAATTTCTTCTAACAAAAAAAGGGAATAAAAATGCAAATGGATTGGAATTAGAGATGCAAATGCGTCACATGACCCGTCATATGACGGTCATGTGACGAGGCGTTCATGACGGCTGTCACAATTCCCCCTCCCCCTTCTGTGACCATATAGATAAAACTATTTTGTTTTATTCATGACCGTCACAAATGGGAAATTAGTTATGACCGTCATTATGCAACTATATAGATGGTTTGACAACAATTTGGTTACAAATGATTTGGGACAATCATTCGTAGTTGGAAACTTTGGAAAATGACGGTTATTTTGCATCTCCAATTGGAATTATGACAGATATTGAGTGAAAATCGATATTTATGTTGATTACGTATATCCCTAGAGCAAATGGTTACAGTATAATATTAAAAACCATTTTATGCAGAGGAGTAATTTCCTACAAAAAATATCACTCACTATTTTCCCCCAAAATTGCTCATCAGGAGAAAATTCGCCAAATTCGCCAAAAAAGGGGAATAAAAATGCAAATGGATTGGAATTAGAGATGCAAATGCGTCACATGACCCTCATATGACGGGTGACAATCATTTGTAGTTGGAAAATTTGGAAAATGACGGTTATTTTGCATCTCCAATTGGAATTATGGCAGATATTGAGTGAAAATCGATATTTATGTTGATTACATATATCCCTAGAGCAAATGGCTACAGTATAATATTAAAAACCATTTTATGCAGAGGAGTAATTTCCTACAAAAAATATCACTCACTATTTTCCCCCAAAATTGCTCATCAGGAGAAAATTCGCCAAATTCGCCAAAAAAGGGGAATAAAAATGCAAATGGATTGGAATTAGAGATGCAAATGCGTCACATGACCGTCATATGACGGGTGACAATCATTTGTAGTTGGAAAATTTGGAAAATGACGGTTATTTTGCATCTCCAATTGGAATTATGGCAGATATTGAGTGAAAATCGATATTTATGTTGATTACGTATATCCCTAGAGCAAATGGCTACAGTATAATATTAAAAACCATTTTATGCAGAGGGGTAATTTCCTACAAAAAATATCACTCACTATTTTCCCCCAAAATTGCTCATCAGGAGAAAATTCGCCAAATTTGCCAAAAAAGGGGAATAAAAATGCAAATGGATTGGAATTAGAGATGCAAATGCGTCACATGACCCGTCATATGACGGTCATGTGACGAGGCGTTCATGACGGCTGTCACAATTCCCCCTCCCCCTTCTGTGACCGTCGCAACTTGTCAAGAACAAATGACAGTCATTTTTCATCTATATAGATGAAACTTCTTTTTTTCTCAGTCAATTTTCAGTTGAATTCCTTTTGTATTGGCATAATCCGCATTTTGAAACGGAAATCACGTTTTTTTTCCATCCATATAGATAAAACTATTTTGTTTTATTCATGACCGTCACAAATGGGAAATTAGTTATGACCGTCATTATGCAACTATATAGATGGTTTGACAACAATTTGGTTACAAATGATTTGTGACAATCATTTGTAGTTGGAAAATTTGGAAAATGACGGTTATTTTGCATCTAAAATTGGAATTATGACAGATATTGAGTGAAAAACGATATTTATGTTGATTACGTATATCCCTAGAGCAAATGGCTACAGTATAATATTAAATATTAAAATATTAAATTTTATGCAGAGGAGTAATTTCCTACAAAAAATATCACTCACTATTTTCCCCCAAAATTGCTCATCAGGAGAAAATTCGCCAAATTCGCCAAAAAAGGGGAATAAAAATGCAAATGGATTGGAATTAGAGATGCAAATGCGTCACATGATCGTCATATGACGGGTGACAATCATTTGTAGTTGGAAAATTTGGAAAATGACGGTTATTTTGCATCTCCAATTGGAATTATGACAGATATTGAGTGAAAATCGATATTTATGTTGATTACGTATATCCCTAGAGCAAATGGTTACAGTATAATATTAAAAACCATTTTATGCAGAGTAGTAATTTCCTACAAAAAATATCACTCACTATTTTCCCCCAAAATTGCTCATCAGGAGAAAATTTGGCGATCGAGATGTGAAAAATGAATCTTCACTCTTCTAAAATACTCTCCATTCTAATCTTTCTTAAAGACCCTTCGAAATTTAAAAATAAAATCGAATAGTCCCCAGTTCAGAGAACTTTCCACACGCACGTGGACCCGCAATCAACGGGCGAAGGTCATTCGGTAATTCTGTTAATAGACCTTATTCTTTTGGACTCGTTGGAATGATTATCAATGCGTAAAATTTCAAAACAAACTTTCGTCAGACTTTTTTCTTATCACAGTTTCCGCTTGTACCACGTGTCAAACCACAGTGATAACTGCAGTCTACATTTTCGAGTCAACAAAAATTATATTTAAAATCTATTTCAATGAATTAAGAACGAAAATCATGGGGTGGAATGTGTTAATAGAGGAGAAATGTTATGTTCGTGATTTACGAACGAGGATACTAATTAGTGATCTAGTTATTAGTGTGCCAGGGTCACTTACCCAGACTTGCTGGCTTGCGTGGACCTGACGGAATGGATTCTGAGCTTATTAGCAATGTCCTTGAGCTCTTGAATGGTTTTAGCCTCAGGTTTATGATAACTAGCCATGTTTCAATGTTTTATTCGACTCAATGAACTGGTGACAGACACAAAATTGTATTTAACAAATGTTTCACTTGGTGATAAAGCAGCCGGCAGGCGAGAGAATGAGACCCAACAAGTAGTATCGGCAGTGTGAACACGCGAAGAAACGAGAATGAGTGTACGATGTGAATGGCCGCCGGCAATCTTTGCCGCCCGCCAATGATTGAATGTTTCCGCATGCTTCCCGGTAGATTGCGCTTGGAAATTATCCTCCATCGGTTTATCTGGGAATTATCAATTTGGTAAAAATTATACCGACATCGTTTCCACCAGAGATTATAGCAATAGGGGAGAGTGCCAGCGCCATGGAGAAGAGACACACCCGACACGATAGTTCCCTTTATTATCGTAGTCAACATGAAACAACTTTTCCTAATTATTTTATAAGAAAAATCGAGTGCTTGTCAGCCTCGAAGACCAGTGCTTCCTCATGTAGGTTGAGCTTTTTTCGAGAAACTCGGGAAAGCTTCAGCGAAAACTCGCGCTTGGGCGCATTGCACCAATTGTAAGCTTTTCCACACGCCACAGTGGCGCTGTGATAAGTCGCAAAGTCAGACAATCTCATCCAGGCGATGGACAACCGTCGTCTTGCGTCGGCGCCGACTCGCTCCAAAAAAAGCCAGTTAAATTCGTGGGTGCATTGTTGTCTTGCGCGTCTGCGGAATCCTCAACGTCCGAGAACAATTCAAAACTCCCCGGAGTTCATCTCGTCCTCAAATGTATGAGATTGAAAAGTCAATCAATTGAATTCACCTGAGCTTATGTGCATGATACTTGTTTGTGGTAGGTGAACGGTCGGAGACCGTCGCGTCGTTTGAGGAAAAAGAAAGAGAAGCCGTCGGGCGGTTCCCCTCGTGTCGTGCAACAAGTGTCAAACGTTGAAAATTAATTTCGCGAGTTTTTAAAGTTAGTGATTTAATTGGATATCCAATTGTTGGGTGTGAAGGTGCCTTTTTCGGGCGTAATTGACGTGGGATGGGGTGCGCCGTGAGTAACACCGGTGAAAAGGCGGCTGCCGAGAGGTCAAAAAAAATCGACAAGGACCTCAGAGCCGATGGAGAACGTGCAGCAAGTCAAGTCAAACTTTTACTCCTTGGTAATTATTAATTATCTTTTTTTCCTTCACTTTTAATTGGGGGGATTAATTTGGCCTTAATCACCCATTGATTCACACGTTTACGTTTGTTCTCCCATCATCAAGTGTCTGGAGCGAATGGGGAATCGTCAATGAGTGTGAACGATTCATGTTGAGTACATTCACTATCAAAAATGTGAAATTACCTATTCTGTCGATTTTTGTTTAAGAATAAACCGAAAGTGATTTTCGGTATTTCTTGCAATTTTGAAATTATATCGAAAATGTTTTTGCAGATGATGAGGTGTCCAACTACAAAGTCTCTTAACATTGTCTTTTAACAAATCCCATCGATAAGTCATTTTACATTGAGTAAGACAATACGATGTCGACAAGTTGTCGTTGTTGTTAATTCTTCTCTGAGTTTTTTTATTTTGCGAAAATTGTTTATGATTTATTCTGGGATAATTGTTTGGGATAATTCGTCTCGTGGCCGTTCACTACCTGATCGATAACTCAATATCGAAAATGTGAAATTAAATGTTCAATACATTTTTTCTAATAATCAACTGAAAGTGATCTTGGAAATTTCCATGAATTTTGAAATTATTCTGAAATTTTTGCTGATGATGAAATATCTAAAGACAATGTTTCTTGACATTCCCTCTTAACATCTCCCATCAAAATAATTTTATATTCATTACGAAACAGAGAATCAACTTCCGAGCAGACACGATGTCGAGATGTTTTTGTTGTCAATTGTCCTCTGCATTTTTATGTCTGACCATGAAAATTGTTTGTAATTTATTCAGGAATTATTTAGTCCGGAGTACTTTGTCTCGTGGTCATTCATTGCTTGATGGATAATCCTCACTTCCCATTTACGTGTGAATGCAACATATAATGTTCTTATGAATCACTCACCCAATATGATTCACGAGATAAGTTTCCGAATAAACCTGAGCAACGAAAGACAAAAAAAGATACTTCGATTGTGCTATTACTCACTCGGGCCTTTCTTAATGACTTACGTAATGAGACCAAAATTTAGGGAGAATCCGGACTAATGACGTAAGGATAACGAGAATTAGGGACTTTGCAGGAAAACCATTGTTTTCATAACAGTTATCGCTCTGAGGGGAAGTGAATCGACGATCGCTGGGAGTGAATTAATATTTCCTTCCTATGAATCGTGCAATTTCTAGAAATAGTTTTAGTCAGTGGTATAAATAACTAATTACTTTGATTGATGCTGTGGGGGTTTATTGGAGTTCTGGTGGCACTTGACTCATTGCTGATTGATTTTAAATGTTATTTTTAGGGGCTGGAGAGTCTGGCAAATCGACGATAGTCAAGCAAATGAAAATTATTCATGAGACTGGGTACAGTCGGGAGGAGTGTGAACAGTATAAACCAGTTGTTTACAGTAATACCATTCAGAGTTTAATGGCTATTATCAGAGCTATGGGACAGCTGAGAATTGATTTCGCTGATCCAAATAAAGCGGTAAGAACATCGCAAATGATAGATAATTAATCCACTGGTTGTTGGAGCGAGTTTTTTGACAGTTCTGCTTGAAAATCAATTGGCAATATGTTTGTAAACGGACAATTCGTATTGCATCAATCTCTTTATTCATCTGTCACTTCTACTTAATTTCCCTGATGCCTTAACAAAGCGTCAATTAATCCATTCACATAGGAAAAATTCCTAGTTTCTAGCAGACCTTGGTGAATTTCAGAGCCATGCGCTACTAAATTTAGCAAGCAAAAAATCCCGAAAATAAGTGAAATTTTCACTTGGTTCCTAAAGTTCTAATTCTCAGTAAGTTTTACCTAAATCTACTATCTTATCTCTTATGTTGGTCGAAATGTGCATTATATAAATCAATTTGGGAAAATGCGAAAAAACGCCGGAGGTGGGGTTTGAACCCATGACCCTCAGGTTTCTAGTCTCAGCCTTGATACACATGGCTGTCTGCTAGGTATCCCTAAATTTACTATAATTGTACGTAAATTCAAGACCATTTTCTCTTATTTTGAAGAAATTTTCATTCTGAAATTCAGAACTTTTGGATTCTTATCTTATCTCTTATGTTGGTCGAAATGTGCATTATATGAATCAATTTGGGAAAATGCGAAAAAACGCCGGAGGTGGGGTTTGAACCCATGACCCTTAGGTTTCTAGTCTCAGCCTTGATACACATGGCTGTCTACTAGGTATCCCTAAATTTACTATAATTGTACTTAAATTCAAGACCATTTTCTCTTATTTTGAAGAAATTTTCATTCTGAAATTCAGAACTTTTGGATTCTTGAAATAAGAACATTGAATATCTCGAGTCAAGAACATCCCTGTTCTTGAATTAACGATTTTCCAGTTCTAAAATTAATCTATTTACGTTTATACATCATTTGTTACTCCGAGTCTATTACTTGACACATTGAATCAAATGGCGTTGAATTGCTGTTCAATAATTCCACAATTTCATCCCTTTCAAATGTTCAATGGGACTTTTTGTGATTATGTTCCAATTGTTGGGAGAATAATTTAGAATGGAAATTACGTGCTTCCTAATTTCATATCTAGATTGAATTGAATCTCCTTTTGAATTTTTTTAACTGAATAAAATCAGGGAATACAAAAATTGGGTGGGAAATGTTTGATATGCATCTTTTCATTTCGAAACATCAAGAATTGTAGCTATTTCGTTAGATCTCTAACTCATTTATTTTTCAGTATTGAACCAAGTGAATTTAAAAAATTTCGAATTTTTCTTCAGATACAATCCTTTAACTATTAAAAACTAATCGAAATCATTTATAATGTAAATTTGACAAATAAAAAGTATCTTCATTGCAATTTACTGTGAAATTTGGAAGCCATAAAAAATTTTGCTCAACAGGATTTGTAGCGCAATTTTTTCAATGTTATAGTATAGATGACACAGTCATAATTGACCCTCAAGTGTTTGCGTAATGATATTAAACGATGTTATAATATATTGCAGGAAATAGCCCGACAGTTTTTTACCCTAGCATCCGCGGCTGAGGAGGGAGAATTAACTGGTGAACTAGTATTATTAATGAAGAGATTATGGCAAGATGCAGGAGTGCAACTTTGTTTTACACGCAGTAGAGAGTATCAGCTCAATGATTCGGCAGCATATTATCTCAATGCTCTTGATCGTATATCCCAGGCAAATTACATTCCAACGCAGCAGGATGTGCTGAGAACGAGGGTCAAAACAACGGGTATTGTGGAGACTTACTTCTCGTTCAAAGGATTACACTTCAAGTATGTTTATTCCCTTTTTTCTTCTTTGAATAAAAATTATAGATTAAGAAGAATTCGTTTCCTTCTCACGACAACTTCAATATTCTAATTGTCTCATTAATTATTTATGACTTTTGGCTCCTGTTTGGAGGCGCCTCTGAATAGAATTTCAAATGGATCGGTTCAATAATTTCTGAAAGTTTATCTTCGAAATATTTTTAGAAGTATTCAACCAATTTCAGTTTTTCTCACTCTAAAATGTTTGTCTCATTGATATTCGAGGGAACGGGTATATTGGGATTACTCATCACCCCACCGCATTATTTCCTCTTGATTGTCATTGCCATATTCATCCACTCCACGGTATTTATTGAAGATTACGCTAAAATTAGAAAAATTTGCTATTCAATCAATATAATCAACACTTTGGCAGAAAATATCCCCTCGTTTTCTTTCTGTTTCAGAATGTTTGATGTTGGTGGACAGAGATCTGAGCGAAAAAAATGGATTCACTGTTTCGAGGGAGTAACTGCCATCATCTTCTGTGTAGCCTTGAGTGGTTATGACCTAGTTCTTGCCGAGGACGAGGAGATGAATCGAATGATTGAGTCAATGAAGCTATTCGATTCTATCTGCAACAGCAAGTGGTTCGTCGACACCTCGATAATTCTTTTTCTCAACAAAAAAGATCTGTTTGAGGAGAAAATAGCGAGGAGTCCGTTAACCATATGCTTCCCCGAGTACAAGGGTAGTAATGCATTCGAGGATTGCGCCGGTTATATTCAGATGAAGTTTGAGAATCTCAACAAGAGGAAGGATCAGAAGCAGATTTACACGCACTTCACCTGCGCCACTGACACATCAAATATTCAATTCGTATTCGACGCTGTGACTGATGTTATTATTAAGAACAATTTGAACAACTGCGGGCTGCTAAGCTGAATCTATTGATTAAGTATTTGCGTCAATTCAAAATTTATTCACCTTCGCAAAAACGAAAATATTCCTTAGAAATTGAAAAATGAACATTCAGAGATTTTTTTCACTCTGTGTGAAAACTATAGTTAGTTCTGAAAATTGAGTCAAATCATGGCTTTTCCATTAGATGGTATTATTTATGACGTCTGATATTTTCTATTTAGACTATAATCATTTAATTAATCATTAGTGACGCGGCTCCATCTTTTTGTATATAATTACAAGACTAGTTTTTCATGAATGTATCTAGTAAGAACAACGGCAATAATCACGTGTTTAAGATTACGATTTCATAACTTTTGTAATGAATTTACCATGACTCCGATCTTTTCTATGAGATTCTTTTGCAAATTTTTTGAATGTATTATCACTAGTTCAGTTATGAGTATGAGTTGTTCAGTACAGGTGAAAACATTTCTATGTTTTTTATAACATATAATTTCTCATGTTTCTGACACTTCACGCAATTAAAGCGTAGACTTAGCAATTTTTTAAAAACATTTTCATCACACCACACATTTATCAATAAAGAAAATTTATAATGAAATTAGTGTGATGGGTTTGACTGATTTATTGAGTAGATAATGCTCTTGCTAAGCAATATTCCTTTATTCAATTCGTTCAACAACTTTTCGGAACATCTGTCGAAATTATTCAGTCGCTATTAGTTTTTTTCCCCTAGATTTCAGGTGCAGACAATTTTTACTAATCACATTATTATTTACAGACATTAATCTACGCAGGAAGCTGCGAAATAAATTAATTACAATATTTTCATTTCGTTTTTTTTTTAAGGAATTCAAACATCTCGAAACGTTAGCTCTTATAATGGCTTTAAAATCAAAACGTGTACTGTTCACATTACAACTCGATAGAAACAATCCCATGAATTGGAAACTTACAACAATTGGTCAACAATTCACATTTTTTTTATCCATAGAATATACGCAATTAACATAATTGTACCAGCGATATTATGCAAATACTGTTATTAGGCTGATTTGATCTGTTTTCAATCCCTGCATAATTATCGTTAGAGTTTTTTTTCATAATTCATTCTTCAACAAGTGATATATTCTAGTCTCGGTGCACAAAAAAATATCTCGAAGACATTCCTTTAAGAAAGAGGTCTATTAATCTCAATAACTTTTTTTTTTCATTATAAATCATTTTGTAGTGGAGTTTCAGTGATTTGAAGGTGAGTCAACAAATCTTTTCATGTTTTCACTGCAAATATTTTTGAAGCTATTTGGGTTCAAACTCCTCTACGAATGTCTCATGATAATTTAGTAGAAACCTCTTCCGCCAAGAGATATGTGCAAAATAATTCAAAAATTGTTTCTCAACTCATCCCATTTCGCAATTCCGCTACAGACTTTGATATCAGGCAAAGAAATAGAAAATTCATCATGAAAAATTATCAGAAACCCATTCTCTCTCCTCTTTCTCAAAATCTTCTAGAACGAGCATTTAAAAAAATTAATTCCAATGATCAAAAAAATCGGTAAACAATTCTGGAATGTCGAGTGAATCTTATTAATTTCTTCTACAAACTTACATTCTATTCGTTGAGGTCTTCCATGAGAAGCTTAATATTGAAGCTTTTCCAAAGTCTTCCGAAAACCCCAACCAAACCGAGAGATCTGAAATTTCACATTCTAGTATAGAGTGGCAAAATGAAATGAATCATTTTTTGCTCAATCATATACGCAAAAATTTCATAGAAAAACATAGCGTATTTGCTAGAGAAGCCTATTGAATTTCTGTTGAAACTTCTACTAATTTTTCGTTAATTGAAATGTTCAATAGGAACTATTGTGTGGAAAAATTCAATAGAATTTAATCTTTTTACACAACTGACTCTGTTGTAACAGTTTGTATAAAAATTTATCAATTTAACTTTGACAAGTTTTTTCGCTTAAGGCCCGGATCGACTATCTTTCGAATGTTATCTCGATCGTTTTGCCATCTTCATAATGTAAAATATATCACAATTTCCATTGGATTTTACATCATGCAGGCGTCCCTAAAAATTATGATTGTGCAATCAAAAAAAGTAGAAAAAAAACTGAACATTTTCAAAGAGTGTTTTTAATAATGATTAAGAAATAAGGCCGATAGAGAGGAAATAGTGAATGGTTAATTTATCATGGCAACTAACGATCTGACAGCCATTGACTACTGTGACAAATGACGACCTAACAGCCATTATATACTTCAAATTATTAATTTGTAATTTCCTCTCCATTGGGTTTATTTCCCAATATTATTTAAGAACGTTCTTTGAAAATCTTCAGCTTTTTTTCAACGTTTTTTAAATTGTACAATCATAATTTTTGGAGACTCCAGGGCTATTTTAAATTGAATGGCAATTGAAGAACATTTCAGATTATCAAAATAAAAAACAACAACCAAGATCACGTTCGAAAAATAGTACACGCGGGCCTTAAATTTTTGAATGAGAAAAACAATGCAGTGAAACAAATGTAGCAAATTCATGCGGAGGAATTTTTATAGTAAATATCTGAATTAACTAAGTTATCTGGAAAGATTGAAATCGATTGATTTTTCTTATAAAATATTTTTTACTGAAACAAAAGTTTTTCCAATGGGCATTTTTAATAGTAAATATTTTGTAGGAAACATCAATCGATTTCAACAGTTATTTCACCAATAATTGCCCATAAAAAATATTTTGCAATACTTTCATAATGTTGTATTACATTTCAGCTAAAAATACACTATTTTATACGGAAATTCAATAGAATTTCCTAGTGAATGTGCTAGATTTTTCTCTAAAATATTTTCGTACATAATATCTTTATACTCACGAAATATAGCGAAATTTCCATGAATTTCTTTTTGCGTAGTTTTCGTTCCGCACTGTGAAAAAAAAAGTGCATAGAAATTTCCCTATCTCTCTTACATTCTCAAATATCCACTCCAACATACTTCATTTTACCACTTTATCCCACAACTGGCCATTCATCTCAAAAGCAATTGATTTGAGAAAAAATCTCAAGAGAGAAATTTTTAATTGAAGAAATTTCCTACAAAAATATCTCCCAAGATTTTCCCCCTATATGGCTTATTCTCGAAATAAAGTTACATATAATCAAATATCGAATATCGATATATCCTGTCACATTCCCTCACTCCTCTGAATTATTCACTGCGCCCCCCCTCCCCCACTCCTCAGAAAAATTTACTGTGGATGCCTGGCTGGAATGGGTGGACCCCCAGTCGTCCTAGCAGGTACAGGAGGTGGCATATTGGGCGGCAGACTAGGCGGTGGATGCTGAGGGGGTGGTAGAGGTGCTTGCCTCTGCGGAAGAGGCGGAGGAACGGAACTGGACGATTTAGACTCATTACTCTCCCCAGCGGACCTTGGCAAAGGTGGTGGTGGCCTATTAGGCACCGGATAACTCGGTGTCTCCTCCCGAATTTCCTCATAAATCGCTGACTCTGGAGACAACCTCTCAGCCTTGTCGTCCCTCATCTCCTCTCTGAAAGGACTTGAGCCCCCAGAGAACTGATTCGATGTTGAAAATTGACTCGAAGAATTCGAAAACTGATTCGAAATCTGACTAGTGCCCACTGGAAACTGATTAGGAAGTACACTAATGACTCCCGCCCTCGGTCCAGGTTTCCTCTCCCTCGCTGGTGACCTTGGTGGCTGGGCAGGACGTGCAGGGGGTGCAGGTCTGGGTGGTCGTCCATCACTGGGACTGGATCTCCCAGAGTGCGCCTCCTCATTAATCTCCAATCGTTCCAGCCTCTGAGCACTCCTTGTGGGCGAATTCTCGTCATACTGAGCCACTGTCGTATTACTACAGATCTCGATCTCCTTCTGAATCAACTGGACCCAATCAGGAGACTTCAAGGACAACTTAAGTGTTTGTCCACAGACCTGGGTCATGCCCTTCCTCGCAGCTGACAAGGCGCACTGTCCGTCCCTGAAGGTCACCCATATCGTCTCCCCCACGAATCTCACGAGAATGACTTCTCCGATATGGGACAAGTCCTGCAGAAGAGCGAGCATGAAGTTGTCATCGAACACACTGTCAATATCATCAGCCTCCTCAACAGCTTTGACTATGATGGTACCATCAGGCGGTCCGAGATCCTGAATAACTTCCCTAAAAACAGCCTCCCGTTTATCCGGATCAACAACATGAACATCAACATCGATTACTGCTATCACAGGCCTATGATCACTCTGTTTCAACTCAGCTCGACCATAGTAGATCAATCTCCCAGGGTTCCAATCTGTTGGAGAATCAATATCAGGTATTTGCTTGCGTCGTTTCCACAGGACTCGATCAGTCCAAGCAGGCTGTCTGCATTTCTCACTGGTGTCGTAATCATCGGAGAATAAATCGTATTTGTATGTTGGGGGGAAGGTGACTGGACCCTCCTGGAAGTTCTTGAAGACATTGCCATGGTCCTGCTGAATCTTCAGCTGATCGTACTGAAGGATTTGCTCTATTTCACCTCTTCTTATCATCTCCCTCATCTCCTCCTTGTCCATATCCACACGGTAGTTGAAATCTCCACACCAGAATACGTAGTCATGGGTATTTAATGTCCTTCCCATTGGAAATGCGAGCTTCCTGGTGATCTCTGCGTAATCAGCGTTTCGTTCGTTGACTTGAGACTGTCCAGCAGCGAAGTGGGCACAAACGAAGCAGAAAGAGGTGGAGTATAGTACACAGCGGATTGCAGCAGCTCCTTTTGACAGGAAAAGTTACGGTTGACGTCAATGCCAGGAATTATGGAAGAAAATTATCATTGTAAGAAGGTAATTTCTCCTCACTAGAATTCCATTAGGAATTCTGTAGGTTTTTTCCTAATTATTATCAGTTCATAAAAAAATTCAGATGATTCACTTCGCAACTTATTCTTTTGCAATTTATTTTACGAAAGGATTTGGGCATAGATGTTTCAATGAGAAAAAGAGAACTAAATAAAATGTCAAAACCGTGCAAAATTTATACCTGAGAATTTCTACCGAAAAAAATTCAGGAGTTCAATTAATAAATTCAGGAGAATGAGGACAATTCCTCATTCGAAGAATTATCTTAGTCATGAATATCATTAAATATTCGAGTAATAGCAAACTGAAATTTCAATTCATAAGTAATAATAAACTCGTATGTTCCACTCAGGTAATCATTTTAGGTACAGATAATTAAATAGAAAATACTAGCCCATCCCCTAGAAGATGCCATTCCACTCTTTCCCATATTTAATTCTTAGAGTGAATCCGTCTGATGAAAATTTGTGAATAGAAATCAGTCATCGAATAAATAAAAACAAAGAGAAAGCGTTCTTCCATCTCACCTTTATTTCCGGTTGCCCCTCCCAATCCTGTCTTAACACAATCCACAGCTACATCCCGTAGATGAGGTGCATGTTGGGGCCGGATAAACAAATAAAGACAGACTCCCACCAGCTGTTGATAAGTAATCAAAACATATTCATCATCCCTTGACAGAACCTTCTGCAGCTCATCCGCCCACGCCTTCGCGTTATCGGTGCTGGCAGCCATGATATTGCTCGCATTCAAGTCCACAATCTCCTCGAACCCAACGGCGAAGATGTCCACAGGTACTCCATCAAACTCCGGAGACACCAGAGACGTAGAATTGTTCCTGGGGGCGTCCAGGAGCCAGTCCGCAAGAGATACATCCTTATAAACAACTGATCTAAAGTGTTTCCCCCCATTCACGTTGTACGTTCCCACTCCCACACGTAAATTCATCGGTCTCACATACTCGTTGTAACGCTTGCACATCTCTCGAAGGACACTTGGAGGTGCGTGCAGCATGTTCGAGGGAAGGAGGAGTCTGGCTCGATCAGCCAACTCTGTGTTGAGGGTCGACCCCAGGAGCAGAATGTCGATGGCTTCCTGCTTGTTTGAGTCTAGGAGGTTGTTTTGGATGGTTCTAGCTGCCGATCTGGCTCCATCCATCAGTTTCGAGCTACCCTGAATGGCCCCAGTCCCTGCGTAGATCTTGCTGACTTCATTTCCGTTGTTTATCCACATCTGCCTGAAGACTTCCTCGAACCTAGAGACCATTTGCTGCTTCTCGAAGAGTTTGAGAAGGGTCAACTGCTTGGAGAGGACCTCTAGGGCGAAGAAGGTCTGCACGCAGTTAGTGCGGTCCAGGCAGTCCAGACAATTCGTTCTGATGGTTCCAGATTGTTCATTCAGAACTGCACCTCCTACTGCGTAGAATAGGGAGAAAGAGTCTAGGTATTTTTCGACCTTTGCTTTTAGCTTGGACAGGTTCTTGGTGTTCCCTCCACGACACTCTTGGTGATAATCAAAGATCACGTGGGGCACGTCTTTGTGGTTGGAGCGACTGTGGTGAGTCTGAAATTGTTGGCTCAGCATGGCTTCTCCCTCCTTGCTGCCTATCAAACTTGAACCTAGGAGGTTGACGATCACTTGTTGGCCGTAGCGTTGTTTTATCATGGAGAGGTGGCGATCGAAGGCTGGGGCTGAGGCCTCAAACCCACGGGATATTCTGACCTTGTGGGAGCCCACTTGGACCCCCGGCTGCTCCCAGAAGAGCGGGACTGAGCCTCGGGTTTGGATGAAGGATGTTACTTCGTTGTCCAGGTAGATTATCTGTTCCGTCTCGACAAAGTTCGCTACGTGTCCGTCGTCGTTTGTTCCTCTGACATTGAATCTGAAAGATCAAGGGTCCATGAGGTAATTGATGACAGAAGCTGAGTCAGAAGGGATACGGAGAAGAAAAGTTTGGATAGAAGATACTATGCAATCTAAATAATCAAAGTGCGAAATGGTATTTCAGGAATTTTTATAAGAGATTGAGGATACAATGTGAGGCAAAGCACAAACTTTCCCTTTTGTAATGTAATTTCTCACAAACGAACAGTAAAATTTGTGAGCTGTTGGAGAAGCAGAGTCAGTGATACTTCAGTGAATTTTACTGTACCTCGTTTAGTAATTTTTTAAATAGTTAAAAAATTTTAGCCATTTTTTATTAGTTTTTTTCTCGGTGTAGATATTTTGGCGAATGTGTCTCAAAGCAGCGAATGTAGAGGAGAATGAGAAAAATTCGTCTGATTTATTGCGAAACCTATTTCGTAGGGAAGAGTGGTGCAAAATGACACCCAGAGGAATGGCTTTTTTAAATTCAATAAATGTTATGTAAATCATATACTTGGTTTTATTTGAATCCCTCGTAATAAAGCTTTTATTCAAAATTAAATTTGATTTTTAAACACATCTTCATTCACATTAAATGAGTTGTCTTTGAAATATGAATGTCAATATTCCATCCAAATAAGGTCTCTATTAGTTAGAAATGGAATCATTATTTGGACGGGGAGGAAGAGGAATATATTGATACGTAATAATCTCTTATTTGGTTTAGAATTTGGTAAGAAGAATATGCAATAGTACGAAGCATTTTTCAATAAATATATCCATAGAAAAAAGTCAATGATAGTTTTCCTGTATAACTTATTGCGTTGAGATTTTTTCCATAAACTTTCTAGAGCACGAAATTCCTGGGTTTGTTCTTGGATTGTATAATAAGAAACAACAGCGAAAAAAGGGAAAAATTGGGTACCAAAACATCAATAGAATTCCAATGAAACTTAATTAGAATTCTTGTGGAGTTCGAATAGAAAGTCAATCGAATTTTTCAGAGACAGCGAAAAGTTTCTCTATCGAATTTTTTCATACATGCTTTACTCTCAGTGTCTGATGACTAATCCAGGGTTCTATCGGGTTAATATAAGGGTCAAAGTGTCAGGTCTTGGATTTTTCGTCATAATCGAATTTTTTAACCGGGTGAACGTGATTCTAACTATTCAAGCGATGGGCTAGTCAGAACTGTCAAAAGTATGTGGAAAAAGTGAAAACTGAGAAACCGTTTTTTTTGGCCCCAGCCAAAGGGTCAGATTTTCGGGTTTTCCGGGGCAAGTGGATTTTCGCCAAAATCGAATTTTTTAGCCGGGTGAACGTTGATTCCAACTATTTAAGCGACGGGCTATTCAGAACTATCAAAAGTATGTGGAAAAAGTGAAAAATGAAAAAAAAATTTTTTCACCGGAGGCCAAAGTGTCGGATCTTGGATTTTTCCGGGGGGAAAGTCGGTCCAAGGGTCACAAGGGTCAAAGTGTCAGGTCTTGGATATTTCGTCGAAATCGAATTTTTTAACCGGGTGAACGTTGATTCTAACTATTTAAGCGATGGCCTAGTCAGAACTGTCAAAAGTATGTGGAAAAAGTGAAAACTGAGAAACCGTTTTTTTTGGCCCCAGCCAAAGGGTCAGATTTTCGGGTTTTCCGGGGCAAGTGGATTTTCGCCAAAATCGAATTTTTTAGCCGGGTGAACGTTGATTCCAACTATTTAAGCGACGGGCTATTCAGAACTATCAAAAGTATGTGGAAAAAGTGAAAACTGAAAAAAAAAATTTTTCACCGGAGGCCAAAGTGTCGGATCTTGGATTTTTCCGGGGGGAAAGTCGGTCCGAGGGTCACAAGGGTCAAAGTGTCAGGTCCTGGATTTTTCGTCAAAATCGAATTTTTTATCGGTTCTATCGGTTTCAGGTTTTATTCGAAAACATTAAAAGAGTTTTTTGTGGTCTATGAAATTTCCTATAGAAGAAGTTGAGGTTTAATAATCTGTTCCTCTTGGAGGTATTAATGACTTCCTTCATCGACCACCTTACAAGTGATTTGATTCAATTTCAAAAGTTTGGAAATGAGTTTTATAATGTTAAGTAAATGGAAAACTGCGGTAATAAAGTTTAACGAAATTATTACAATTTGGAAGTTTTTGTGGGGCAATTTACCTGGTGCCAGCCCGTTCGCAGCTCAGCCGAGAGACAACAACTGCCCGAGCTTGTCTGTGACCAACATAGACTGTCCTGATCTCTACACTGCCGCACATTGCTTTTAACAGCCATTCTGTTGTGTTTACACCAAATCTCAGCAAATGGATATGGAGCATTCGATTCCTAATAAGAGGAAAGTAAGAAAATAAAAATCAGTAACAAATGCGTCAAAATTTTCTATTGGGTTTTCACACACATGTAGGGATATTCATCGAGAACTTATGGTCGAAGTTTAGTTATACTGTCGTACTCCTGTACGATTCGACTTATTTAAAAAAATAGGAATGCCAAACTCATAATTTTTGACATGCACTGAGTGGTAAAATGACCATTTTCTGACCATTTTCTGTATTTGTGGTGGGAGACCGTCAATCTAGTTGAAAATTGATAGTCATTTTAGTGTTCAGGCTTTTTTTTCATCATTTTCTGCCAATTAATTTCAAGGATTTTCTCGAAGCGGAGGACGAGGGAGGCTGGGGTAAAATGAAGCTATCCAAGTACTTAATGAACTAAAAACCAGAAATGTGAATATAATAAAAGCTATATTAATTTGGAACTGTGAGAAACTGATTGAAGAATCATATAGAGTTGTTCGTGTTATTTATTATGCATTCTAAGAAGCTTCAATTATAGTCAAACACTCGTTTAATATTTCCTATTCGAGTAAAGGCTTCATAAATGTTTCCTGATGAACCAAGTGAGAGCTTCGGAATTATAATCATTTTTTAAATAAATTGAATAACCCTTTAACCTTTTTTGAAATAATTGAATAATAATAATAATAATTGAAAAATAGTTTTTGCCTGAGTGTCAAAGATTTGGAAGAGACAGTGAACTCTCGCCTTTGACAAAATAATACTTTGAAGAAAAAAAAATGAGTGCTCTATCTCGAGAAAAATTGACCGTCAAATTTTTTTCTTGTCACTCCCGTGACATTAGATTGTCTCGTTTTTTCGTGGTTACATGTAATTTACGTGTAAAATGACAATAAATTGATTGGTCTTATGTTCCGTTGTATTCCTATCAAAGTAGAAAAATTGTCCTCACCAGAAAAATCGATTATCCGTAATAGTTGATTTGTATCTCCTTTGCACACTGAGTGTAATATCCAATGCCTCCTGCTGTCCAGCAGACCACGAGAAATAGAAAGTCCCTGAATTCAGGACCTTCCTGACTTCCGAAACCCGATCCTCATTCCCCTGAGTATAATGCAGAGGTACAAATTGAGTTTGAGTGATTCTGAATATCTCCGACTCCCCGATCTTCCCCACGGAGAAGCACCCAGTCACCACGACCAGGTACAGGAGAGTATTTTCTCCAGCATTGAGCTGGAGAACCCCCAGGCATCCATAGGCATCAAGTAGCTTCGTGTACTGAACCTTCAGAGACTCTGTCTCTTGGGCAGCTGTCAGAAACATTGATCAGATAGTTAGCCATATCGTGAAATAATTCACTCATCAACATTCGAATAGATAATCTTTGTTCGAGTGTTCAGTTATCAATTTATGCGGGGAAGTGACATGAATTTATGATCGACTGTTGCCATGAATTCTAAAAGGGATAATGAGGTGGTTTTACGATCATTTTTGGATGTCTTGGATGCTATTTACTTACACATAACAGCAACGATACCTTCTTGATTCTTCATAATTTTTCAATTTGAAAAAACGCGTATCTATCATTTTTTATTCGTGTACTGAACCTTCAGAGACTCTGTCTCTTGGGCAGCTGTCAGAAACATTGATCAGATAGTTAGCCATATCGTGAAATAATTCACTCATCAACATTCGAATAGATAATCTTTGTTCGAGTGTTCAGTTATCAATTTATGCGGGGAAGTGACATGAATTTATGATCGACTGTTGCCATGAATTCTAAAAGGGATAATGAGGTGGTTTTACGATCATTTTTGGATGTCTTGGATGCTATTTACTTACACATAACAGCAACGATACCTTCTTGATTCTTCATAATTTTTCAATTTGAAAAAACGCGTATCTATCATTTTTTATTCGTGTACTGAACCTTCAGAGACTCTGTCTCTTGGGCAGCTGTCAGAAACATTGATCAGATAGTTAGCCATATCGTGAAATAATTCACTCATCAACATTCGAATAGATAATCTTTGTTCGAGTGTTCAGTTATCAATTTATGCGGGGAAGTGACATGAATTTATGATCGACTGTTGCCATGAATTCTAAAAGGGATAATGAGGTGGTTTTACGATCATTTTTGGATGTCTTGGATGCTATTTACTTACACATAACAGCAACGATACCTTCTTGATTCTTCATAATTTTTCAATTTGAAAAAACGCGTATCTATCATTTTTTATTCGTGTACTGAACCTTCAGAGACTCTGTCTCTTGGGCAGCTGTCAGAAACATTGATCAGATAGTTAGCCATATCGTGAAATAATTCACTCATCAACATTCGAATAGATAATCTTTGTTCGAGTGTTCAGTTATCAATTTATGCGGGGAAGTGACATGAATTTATGATCGACTGTTGCCATGAATTCTAAAAGGGATAATGAGGTGGTTTTACGATCATTTTTGGATGTCTTGGATGCTATTTACTTACACATAACAGCAACGATACCTTCTTGATTCTTCATAATTTTTCAAATTGAAAAAACGCGTATCTATTTTTTATCAAATGTTAGTATTTTATCCTTTTACTCAACAATAGAATTTAATGCGATCACTTAATTGAACTAAATCTGTGAATTTGGTTCTGAGTTGTGAACATTGTTGAAAAAATTCAGGAATGGGGATTTTATCTAATCTCCTCTATAGCTTGTAAGTTCCAATGGGGTCTTCATTTGCAGAATAATTCATGGATCATCATTCGAAACGATAATATTTGTTCGATCATTCAGTTATTGATTTATGTGAAGAGATTACATGAATTCATGTTTTCATGCATTTATTATGATCTATTGACGCCCACTGATTGGCAATTGATAAGAAATAAGTTATGATTAGGTGTTTTTGCGAATTAGGAAATTATGAAAAGGATAATGAGGTGATTTTACGATTATTTTTTGACTGTTTGATCATCCCATTCATTTACGCAAACCAGCAACTGTAAATTCTCAATTCTTAATTATTTTTAGAAATTAAAAAATACTTGTCTAATATTTTGTAATCCAATTTCCATATATTGTCATTTCATTCAATAATAATATTCAATACACCAAATCAATTAAAGTAAATTGATGAATTTGGTACTGCGTAGTGGGTATTTTTCAAAAAATTTAGGAGTGAACATTTCCCAATCATCTCTACAGCGTCTGAGTTCTGATGGGGTGTTCATTTATGGGATAATTCACTTGTCAATATTCGAATAGATAAAATTTGTTTAATGGATAATGAGGTAATTCTACGATTATTTTTTGAGTTTTTGATTAAGTTATTTACTTACATAAAACAGCAACTGCCTGAGACTCAAAAAGAACTGTATCCTTCCGATTTCTGTGCTCCAAAATGAGTGAATGTGGACTCGGTGGTTTTAATTTCTCATATATCCTAAAGCCCTTGCCCATCGCCATTGCTAATGTCCCCTAATTCTCCTCTCCCAGTATTATTAATTGTTTTAAGTCAGTACTGACAGGTAACTCAGGTATACGTAAACCGGTCGGTTGTTGTTTTTTTGCAATAATTATTTTTATCCTTTCGTTCGAGGGAATGTGATCGGCGGAATCGGCATCGAGTGGTTAATGCCGAGTTTTTTTCCCCACTGACACTTGATTCGAAAATGCTCGCAGAATTTCACTACATTAACTTGGATTTCCCTTGAGGCTTGCACTTTTTATTTTTCACTCTCGACAGTTGATTTTCATCTCTTTTTAAGTCATGTATTGTTATTTCTCGTTTCTCACTTTTGCGAGGTGAGGAACTCACTCGCTCACTCACTCGTGGGTGAGACGGTGTACGCGTGCGCCAGTCGATAGTTAAGAGCCGGACTGAGAGGTTCAGAGGAGATCGGCAGTATTCGGGAGGCGGGAAAAATAGACTTTTCAAAGTGAGTAGGAGAAAGTCGGGTAGAGTTGCGACCCTTGGCATTTTTTAGAAATTTCTATGAGAGTCAGAGAAAAATTTCTGGTTTTCAGCCATTTTTACTGAAATCCCGTACTCATGTACTTCAATAAAAATAGTTTGGTGCTGAAATTATAGTATATTACGTTATTAGGCCGAAAAAAACTTTTTCGTGAGAAGACCCGGTAAACCGCGATTCTAACCTCGCTTCGCTCGGTTTGATCGCGGTTTACGGGCCTTCTGACGAAAAATTGCATTCATCACACGGTCCAATAGTACATTACGCAACTAGTGTTAAAAGTGTGATTTAAAAATTATGCGGAACTTCTGAAGAAAAAATTAATTATATTCATTAAATATGTAGTTCAAAAAACTTGTAAAGTATTTTTAATTGAAAAAAATTAATTATAATAATTACAAAATACAATTTTTAAAAATCATTAAGAATTCGCAAAAAAAAGAAAGTTATAATTATAAAAAAATATGATACAAAACGTAATTGAAAAATCGGAGAATATTTTATTTCCATTTTCTTAAAATAAAGGACCCTCAGCCGCGTGCTTACCAACCTCGCCTTCGGCTCGCAACACCCCCCGCCCCCCTCCGACGGTCTTAAACAAAAAAACCCCTCAATGCAAACTCTGGCAGCGTTCCTATCGAGCGGCTATCTCCGCCACTCCAACTCAACAACCCAGTCGATAAAGCCTCCCAATGAGAAAGACAACGACAGCCTCAAACGCGCAAAGGACAGACGATCAACGACAAATGGCCGCGAGCGCCGCTATGAAGACACGAACGTAATTGCTTGGTGAGGTGTTACAATTCGGTGTTCCAGTATACCTGTAAATTCATAATCACAAGTCCATGGTATCTATGGACAAAATCTATCGAATTAATATCGTGTAAATATGCTGTTTGAGTAGTGGATGGTGAACCGATCGACATGAAATTGATTGGGACGAGTTAGTGATTTAATGGTTAGGTTGGACTGTGTGGCATCCATTAACGTTGAGAATTTGGCATCGGTTATTGTCACATTTCTCGGATTAAACGAAACAGAACGGAAGTACGTGGAATATCGTAAGTACAGGGGCTTCTTTAATTGCTGCGAGACTTCCTGGACTCAACACTCTTCATTCCCATTTCTCGGTGGCTTTTCCAGTTGATTGTTCAATACCCAGGACAAATTGATTAACAATGTCCTATCCTGGACAACCACCGATGGGCATACCCGGGATGCCGCCCATGCCGTACATGGTCGGTGCTCCTCCACCGATTATCGGGGGAGTTATGCCAATGCCACATGTGAGTATATGAATTTTTAAATGAAGGGAATATTGGCCGAGCACGAGGTACGAGGCATGGACTGTTGGGTGATGGTACAAGTTGGTTTTTTCCCCTGGAGCACGGCAGAAGACGAACGTTCCTTCGAAATTTTGAAAATAATTTCCTGCTTAAAGTTATTAATATTTATCAAAATCGCAGGACATTAAGCTTGATCATGACCTCGTGGATGTTGAGGATATCCAGGTATTTTTTACAGTTTGGTACAGACCGCACTATAGATTCAACCATTTTCAATCATGAAATGTGTCAATTTAATTGCGTGAGAAGAATTTGAAATAAAATCATGCAGATTGAGCGTCATTTAAATAACATTTTGAACAGATTCCTGTTTCTAACCATTCGCTGTTTGTAAATAAATAATTGAAATTGTTTAAACTTTTGAAAACCTTATTGTTTAGGCATGAAATCGATTTCTGGTAAAATTATGAAGATTAATAAATTTGTTACGATTCCGAGCAAATGATTTTTATGGTTGAAAATCCATTGTTTATAAATTATTAATAGAAAATGCTCGTAATTTTGAAAAATTGCAATTTTTCAGTTATTTCATCAATCTTCTTCCAAATGTTAACTTTCTAATTTTTCTGCAAATTTTTAAAATGATTTCTAACGGTTCAATATCTAATTTCAAACTCAGACCTGTAAAGTTTAAATAATAAAATCGTTGGACAGTGTTCAGAAACTCAAGGTTAAATGGGGCTCAGGTGAAAGCTCTAATGTTCGACTGCAAAAGTAGAAAAGCATTTCACTGGAGAAAAAGCAGCCAAAGTACTTGGATATCCTTAACGTGCTTCAATTTTGAAAAATATCGTTAACTTTCATCTGCTCATTTTTGTCTGTAGTCCACAAAATTCATCACAAAAAGTGTTTAGATATTTCTTGATAGACCTGATAGACTCTGAGATATCGAGAGATTCATCAGCCTAAAAACCAAAAACTGTCAGAAATGACCTGAAATTTCATGAACAATTTGATAGTAATTTTCCGGAGTGTCACATTCAGTTTGATAAAGGAAGAAAAAAACATGGAATTTAAAATTTCACTAAAAAATTCACGGAGTCTTAAGTTCTTGAACTGCATGGACACGAGAATTGTCCAATTTATTTTACTTTTCAATCCAAACGAATATTCAGTACTAGATCACCTGAATTTTTTTGCTTTACTTCAACTTTCGCGGAATAATTAAATTGAAATTTACATTATCCATCGGTTTTTTTCATCAAATCATGTATTTTCAATGCTTGAATTCCTTGAAATGTCAGTGGAACTCTCACGTAATGAAAATTTCGTGAGAGTTCCGAAAAGTGTAGAACAGTGTTAACGAGCTTGTCACCAATCCCAATGAACGAACCATTCCTCCATTAACGACCAATTCACAATCCCTAAATCATCAAAATTCTTCTGCAGATGATCCCCACACCAGTGTCTGCAATGCAGACATCAGCACCAGCAGTGAGATACTCACGAAATCAACCGAGGCACGATCCAACAAGACGAAGAGAACGTGAAACAGGTCCTCCAGTCACTGTTTTCGTGGGCAACATCATGGATCGTGCCCCTGACGTTATGATCAGACATATCCTCGGTGCTTGTGGTCACGTGCTGTCCTGGAAACGTGTCCAGGCCTTTGGTTTCTGTGAGTATGCTGGACCAGATGCTGGATTGCGAGCAATTCGACTGCTCCATGACATGGAAATTGGGAATAAGAAGCTGGTGGTTAAAGTCGACGCCAAGGCTAAAGTTGTTTTGGATCAGTTCAAAGGTGAGATGACCCAATCGAGAACTCATAATTAATTAATTGTGTGCAATGTAGATGTCTTACTAATTGTTATTTTTGCTCATTACTAAATAATTCATTTATTTTGTCTCTCAATACTGATAATTTATGATGAAATAATCTAGCTGAGCGACGAAAGAAGCTGAAGGGCGGGCAATCCCCTCTGCAGGACGAGACGCCGAATGAAGCTGGTGATGGTGACGATGCTGATGACTACATGGACGAGGGGATGCGGGTTGTGGACAGCGATGCGCTCACAAGGATCTCTCAGATTCTCTCAGAGCATTCGAACGAGTTGGAACTTGCTCAGAATGCCCCAGGTAAGTTAATTGCGAGACGATAAAGAACCGTTAATACCGTTAAATTGTGAAGTCGTCAATTTTTAACATAAATCGTAAAATTTTAAATATTAAAGTAACCATCAATTTGTACATTTAAATTTCGAAATATTCTATCAACCAATAATTTAGGTAGAAAGATTGCCGATTATTTGGATAATCGAAAATCAAGTAACTAAAGTTAGAATTAGCTTGTTAACTAAAAAATTACATTACAGTATTATCTAATATTTTATTTACCGTCAATCGAAAAATTTAGGTAATAAATTCTGAAATATTTTAAATTTGTTAAATATAGTTAAACTTTGAACAATATGAAGAGATAATCCTTTTTAATATTGTCAAAATCTAATATTATTGCCTATCCCTGATAAAGAACAGATCTCGAATGTTACATTTTTTGCTGACTATGAAGTTAAATATTATCTCTATACTGAGTGACTTTAGGGAGAGACTTTCTTGTAGAACAGAAAACTTAACAAAAAATATGTTGACGTTTCCTCATAGAATGCTCCATTTCCAAGATAAATGGATGATTATGAGATTATGATTATGAGAAATATAAAATTTATTTGAATTAAAATTAAATTAGATTAAATTACTTCTGATTGTGAAATTGTGCAAATGTCCAGAGAATGTCAGCTAAAATTCCCATTTTATCGGTCGATAGTCTATTTCTAAGATTAATGCATTAGTCATCACAAATTTCTAATTTTTTTATTAGTAGAATAAATAATGGGATGTCGGAAGAGATTAAACAATACTATTTCATTGTTAAAGCCCAATGTTCTGCTATGGATTCTAGTTTCTTCAGGCTATGGGAACTGAACAGAAATAAAAAATATTGGAATTAGTCTGTCCTATAAATCAAAGCAACAATAAATGTAAATCAAAACAGTTATTGTCGTTGTGATTTATGTTCACAGCTAATTACACTATTGTTTCTGTTGGCCTGAAGAACTTTCCCAACACTCCCTTATCTATCCGTTATTATCATACATGGAAATAAGTAACATCAATTTTTTTATTGTAAAATTGTGCAGTTGACTCAATAGTGAGTATTTTCAGACAAAGTCGCGTTTGAGAATCGATGAAATTTCCCACAAAAAAATTTCAGTTCTCATTTTCTCGTAAAATGATTTAGTATGAAGACATCTGCATATTTAAGAAGTGAAAATTAAAAGTTTGACATTTTAACTTGAAAAAAATGTAAATCTCAACCAACAAGCGGCACTTCATCATTTACCGCGAATCTCCCATAATTCTCTTTATGTTCATCCACAGATGCTAGGAAAGCCACTGCTGAGGAGCATCAGGCAAAACTAGCAGCAAAGTCATTGAACCTCGACGATGCGGAAATTGAGGAAAGTAAACGAGATTTAATAACACGGGAAATTGGAAAGTTC